ACACTGTAATACTATCATCGCTGTCATCAGTGGTATTATCTCCCCTGGGAACCAGACAGGACCTCATCTCAGATTGCACAAGGATCTCCTGCTCTGGTCCTGCCCTGACATGGCACAGCTGTGCCACTGGGGCAGGTCAACCCACCCTCAACCCAGTGTCATCACGTGTACACAGACTGACTTAGATCCAGTTTTCTCTGAAAATCTCTTTTCCTGTGGGAGTACAAGAACACGGCCTTGAATGCAAAGTATTATCAATTGGCTCTTTAATAATAGTGGAGTAAATTGAATCATAAATAATCCTCCTCACTGAATATGGGTAACAGGAGAGTCAACAGAAGTTTTTTGAGCCAGATTATCAGGACCATTTGGACCCTCTGGTTAGGAAATGGACAAGCAGGCTGACCTACTGTGGGACAGTGGAAGGGAAGACACAGAACCCAACATCCAGAACCAGGTGAGCCCTTTAGTCATCAGGTGACCTCTGGGCACTGAGGTTTGAGCAGACTCAGAAGGGTCTGTCCAGGCCCTTTGGAGCTGATGGGCCTGGGAGCGGCTGATATAAATTCTTGCTCACAGAAAAGATTACATATAGCTCTGCATGTGTTTATGTTGGTAGGAATGAGTTCATAGAGTCTGTTTATCCATAGGAACAAAAATAAAGGATTAGGTCACCAGCACTAAAAAGTAATTGTGGAATTTCTGGGGATAATGAAAGAAAGGATAGCTGGGATCTAGATCATGTTATAATGCTGATGGGGATAGATCTGACTGATTTGTCACAGAGAGAAGAGAATTAGTGAGGGTTGGTTTTTGTGGTAAGAACAATTAACATAAGTTCTGCCCTCTTAACAGATTTCTTTGTGTACAGTATTGTTTCCTGTAGGCTTGGTGTTGTACACCAGATCTCTAGTAATTTTTCATCTCACATAACTGAAATTTTGTGCATGTTGATTAACTACTAACATTAACTCCTCCCCCAGCCCCTGCTCACTACCTTTCTGTTCTGTGCTTCTATGAGTTTGACTTATTTTTGATACATCATATAAGTGGAATCACGCAATATCAGCCCTTTTATGACTGGTTTCTTTCACGTATCATGTTGTTCTCACGGTCCATCAATCTTGTCTCATGTTACAGGATTTCCTTCTTTTTTAAGGTGAATGATATTTCATTGTGTGACCATACCACATTTTCTTTATCCATTCATCTATCAGCGGACATTAAGGTGTTTCCATGGGCCGGCCTGGTGGCATAGCGGATAAGTGAGTGAGCTCCACTGCAGCAGCACGGGGTTCGCAGGTTCGGATCGCAGGCACACACCGATGCACCGCTTGTCATGCCATGTGGCGGCGTCCCATATAAAGTAGAGGAAGATGGGCATGGATGTTAGGTAGGGCCAACCTTCCTCAGCACAAACAAAAGAGGAGGATTGGCATAGGATGTTAGCTCAGGGCGAATCTTGCCCACCAAAAAAAAAAAAAAATGTGTTTCCACATCTTAGTTATTGTGAGTAAAGCTGTGATGAATGTGGGACTGCAGATATCTCTTTGAGATCCTGATTTCAATTCTTTGAGTTTTATACCTAGAAGTGGGATTGTTGGCTCAGTGGTAGTCCTCTTTTTAATATTTTTGAGGACACTCCATACTCCTTTCCATAATGTCTGTACCAATTTACATTCCAACCAGCATTGACTGGATTCCCATTTATGCACATTCCGCCCTTCACTATTAGCCCTTTTTGTTAATCACAGCCAGCCTAACAGGTGTGAATTGATATCTCATTGTGGTTTTGATTGCATTTCCCTGATGATTAGTGACATTGAGGACCTGTCATTTACTTGTTGGTCAGAAGACTTGAGTAGGCATTTCTCCAAAGTTGTGAGCTGAAAGTGAGAAGCTTTTGAAGGTCACCCTGATTCACAAGTCGTGATGAACCAATAACCTGTTTAGAGGGAGAGGAAAGATTGTGGTGGTTTCATGTTGAGAAATGGAAACGCCCACCTGATGGCTTCTGTATTTCCCCTTGAAAGGGGGTGAGAGCGTAAACTAAGAAGGGAGTGTGAAGTTATATAATATTGAGGCCAGATGTTTGAGGACAATTCACTACCTTTGTGGGACTCATCGTTAAACACTAAAAAAGACAGAAATCATGAATTCTATCTGTTTTTTTTTCCGTGAACTATCCAGTGTTCCTGGATAATACTCAGTTCAGCAGATGTTGGTGTTGCTGGATGTAAAGGAGATTCACCACCTCCGTGTTTGTATGTGACAGCTCCAACCACAAGTCCAGCTCCACACATAACAGATGTAAACACCACTCATTCATCATGTACGGAAGTGGTGCCTGAAGGTTTGGGGTGCAGGTCAACGATATGGAAATGTGTGGTTGGAAATGTGGATGTAAATGTCTAATATTCCTCACTCGAGAAGGTGCAACTTAAGCCTTCATCTCTTGAATATGGCCTCAGCTTAGCGACACGACAGGAATTCTGGGTGACCTTGAATTTCAAAGTGAATTGTCAGATGTAATATGGAAAATATGGTCCATGAAAGAACGAATTCATATTTTTAAATATATCCAAATTAAACTTTGTCCTGAAAAAGCAACTACAGCCATACTGATAAGAGACTTTAACGATAGGCCACGGGCGTCATGACCAGTGACCTAGTGGTTAGGTTCAGTGTGCTCCACTTTTGGTGGCCTGGGTTCGATTCCTGGGTACAGACCTACACTGGTCTGTTAGTGGCTGTGTTGTGCCAGCAGCCCACATACTAAGAAATAGAGGAAGATTGTCAAGGATGTTAGTCAGGGTGAATCTTCCTCTTCAAAAAAAAAAAAAAAAAGACACGGCATGGACTGGGATAATATACTATCCAACCTCATGTTTGGTAATGGACTTGTATCATGAATATACCAGATATTTACGACTGAACAAAAGAAAACAAACAATCCAAATCAATTGGGTCAATGATCTGAGTGGACACCTCCTTGAAGAAGAGATGAAAAGGTGATCAACATAATTTTTCATTAAGGAAACATAAAATAACAGGACAGTGAGATACTGCTACTCACTGCTAGAATGGCTGAATTACAAAATACTGAAAACATCAGATGCTGATGAAGATGTGTATCAGCAAGGACCCTCATTCACTGCTGGTGGGAATGGAAAGAGCAGCCACTTTGGCAGACATTTGACAACTTCTTAAGGAGTTAAATGTTGACCTACCATCTGATTGAGGAGTTGTGCTAAAAGGTATTTACCAAGATGACTTGAACATTTGTGTTCACACAAATACCTTCATGGGGATTCTATATCACCTTTACTCATTTGAGCCTTTTCTACTCCCTGAATTTTAGTATAGAGTAATTTATGGGAATTTGCTCATGCATTTAGTGGACATATGATTGTGTTGTTCTTTTTCCTCAGTTTCTTAACCCTGTTTTCTATGGAAGCCTTGAACCTAATCATCCTTGTCATGTCCTCAGCCCAGCACAGCTGTCATCTCCCTCAGGGTTCTGACACACTCAGGATGTGGGTTATCACACTGTGTCTCTTCCACTGTAATACACGGCCATGTACTCAGATCTCAGACTGCTCAGCTATACGTAGGCTGTGCTTGTGGATGTGCCCCTGGTCATGGTGACTCTGCTCTGGAACTTTTGTGCATAGCTTGTATCATCATCATCAGGGTAGATCCCTCCCATCCACTCAAGCACTTGTCCAGGGGCCTGTCGAACCCACTGCATATACTAGTCAGTGAAGGTGTATCCAGAAGCCTTGCAGGATACCTACACAGATGCCCCAGGCTTCCTCACCTCAGACCCAGACCAGCTGCACCTGGGAGTGGACACCTGTGGAGAGGAGACACGAGTGGATGGAATCCTCTTTCACTGCTCCCAGCCGCATGCTTTACCCAGGGATTGGGAAGCTCCTTACCTATAGCCACTGCCACCAAGAGGAGGATTCTCCAGCTCCAGTCCCTGGTGAGGGGCTGTGCTCTCAGTGTTTCTGTAGGAGAGGTGGTGCTTGTTGAGTGATGCTCTCAGGACACAGGCACATCCATATTTAACTTAGTCAACCTCCACTGATTTACATAGTCCTGAGGCTAAATATTTCACAGTCAAGACTTGTCCTAACCTGAGAGAAGAAGATCAATGACACATGGACCTTGCTCAATGGGATGTTGGGGCCAAAGTCCTAAACCTTTTGTGAGGATATGTGTCCCCTGCCATGTCCCTGAACTTGTGCAGACAGAGCTCGTCCCACTGAGGAACAAGCCCCCACAGGATGTGCTCCCCATTGTGAACCCAAATTTGAGTGGCACAGAGACCACCTGAACCTGTTCTGGGCTTTGAAGTCTGAATGTCTTATTCCTGGGATCAGAGTGTCTCCTAAAACTCTGCATCCAGTGAATGAATAAGACCATCCCTGGCCTCCAGGTCCTTACTATTAAGGTATGTGGAAGCTCTAGAAATGCCCCTTTTGAATGTGGTCTTCACTGACTTACGGAGTTAGGTAAACCCTCCCAATAGCAAAGCATATTTGAAAACACATCAGCAATCATTGCCAAATTTTCAGTATAGATAGTTGATGTTTTTGAAAAAAGAAAACCTGATCCCTCACAGGAAGACCCTCCCCAGCCCCCTCTGCACCTGCTCCTGTGCTGAAGCCCTGTGCTGGATGGTCCTGAGGGCCCACTGCAGTCCAGCCCCCACCCTGCAGGGAGGGTCCTGTCTGAGCTCACAGGGCATTTACCTCTCAGTGTCTCTAGTCCAGTGTTAACAGCTGTGCCCTGAATTCAGGATGCTCCTTCAGCGACACCATATGATTTGACATCATCTCTTGAAATAGTGACGAGGCCTTACTAAACCCGCATGCTCTGCAGGGAGACCCCAAGCAAGGATTTTATGAAACCACCAGGGAGCCCCTTCCCTGGAGCTGCCAGATTCTCTGGCACAGTCCACACTCACAGTGAGTCAGAAACCCTGGGGGGCTTTACAGGAGCCTCATATGTCGTTTAGGTTCCCCTGGAGACCCCACACCTGCAAGAAGGGAGAAGAAAGAGAAGGAGGAAGCACCACTGTCAGTGGGCTCAGGTAAGGCTGATCTGCAGGGCCACCTGGGGGGCGGGGCAGCAGCCAGCAGGTGAGCGAGGTCAGCTCTGTGAGGGAAGCCCTGGCCTCTGCAGGACACCGGTCACCAGGATGGACTCTGGTTCCTCCATCCTCAGGGCTCCACCCTGCTGTTCATATTGCCTCCTGACCACCTGCCCTGTGGACCTCAGGCCCTGCATCCCATGTGAAGACAGAACCACACCTCAGTCACCTAGAAATGTGCCAGCGGATTGTCTGTGGGAAATCCTGTCTCATCCTGGATCTGCGTCTCTGGTGGAACCGTGACGATGGAGACACGTGGATACACCCAGAGGGTCTGGCAGGAGAAGGATCTCGGTGCATTTCTCAGTGACGAGTCCTCACCTTCCCCGGTCAGAACCACGAGGGGACATATATGGATCTTCACCTTGGAACCTAGAGGGTTCTGGGGGGAAAGACGACAGAAGTATGGGGTATGACCCCAGGAGCTCTCACCCTCATGCGATCCACCCTGGTCCTCCAGCCACTCACAGCTACCCTGAAAGTGGTCCCTGTCTGTGCCTCCAGCAGCTTCTGTTCCAGGAAGCTGATCTCACCTGGGGCTCTGGATGTGCCTGTGTTTCCACTTATTGGATGGAGGTTTCCCTGCAATTTATCTGATCAGTAAAGGAAAAGTCACTAATTTTCAGTTTTGCCACCTTTTTTATAAGAATAATAGTGATGATTTCCAAGATCTTACATGTCAGAGTGAAACCAGAAGTCCCCTCAGAGGTCACCTTTGACCTGTTACCAGATACAGGAATCCAACCCCACCAAGTGTACATAGACCCTGGACTGACATCACTGGACACAAAATCACTGAAAGTCTCAGTGATCTCAAGCCTTTCCCAGGAAGCTGGGATTCAGAAACTACAACAGGCAAGGAACGGTTAAGTCTCAGGTGATGTCACGTTCTGGAAGGACATTCCTGCCCCTGAAGGGTCCCAGTAGGTGCACCTGGAACCTCACAATTGGGAACAGAGACTCTCATTCCTCAAAGACAAGACACACCCATGAGAAAGCTGTTTTCCAGGTGGAGGGCAGAGCAAGGGGGAGGAGATGGAGGTGTCCAACAAGGAACCACCAAAAATGAAATCCAAAATAATTGAAAAAAGAAAAGCGGAACCTGAATATACATTTATGCGTTTCCTAGTCACATACAGCCTTTTGTGAGTTTGAGAATGTTTCACCCTATTACAACAAATCTTTTTGAATTCGACGACATCAGGGGAAGGCACAGAATCATTAATCTGGAAAAGCTCCTGGGAAAACTGTCAGATGAGAGGAAGCTCCAGATGCTGGCAGGAAATCAGCTCTTCACCTGCACTGCACCTGCCCTGGGGCTGGTCTCCTGGAGGTGCTGAGCACCCCCTGGTGTCCTGGGCACCCCCTGCAGCCCAGCCCCTCCTGTCTCCCTGCAGAGAGGTTTATGTCTGTGCTCACATTGACTTCCCTTCACTGCGTTTTTTGCACTGTAATAGATAGCTGTGTCCTCAGCTCTTAAGCTGTCTGTCACTGGGACAGACCCATGTTCCCTTCTTCAGGTTGGTCATTTTAAGAGACAGTGTACTCTTAAGGTTGTGTTTGACAAGTGTCACTCTTTCTTTAACTGACAGAGAATAGTACTGATTTGCTCCAGATGATTTCCTCACGAGCTCCTGTTCCATGATCTCCCCCGGGGCCTGGTGGACTCAGACCATGCCAGTCAGTGAACGTGAATCCAGAGGCTTTTCAGATTTCAGTTGCATCTCAGGAAAAAAAACCCTCTCTCTGTGACACCTTCCCCGACTCCCCTAGCTGATCCTGACACAACACCTGCAAACACACAGAAAAGTGGCTGAGGCTAGTCCGCGTGGGGCAGTCCCAGCTCAGCCTGATGCAGGAGGGACGTTGCCTTTGACAGTGAGGAGAAGGGGAGCCCAGATCAGCACAGGCCCCACGGTGTGGACACTGAGGAAGAACACAGAGAGGGGGAGGGCTCCTCACTAGCATCTGCAGCCACAGCAGACGAGCTGCTGTTCATGAGCTGAGGAGGGGGCGCATCTGTGTATCTTTCCCCCTGTGCCCATTGTGAGCTGTCCAGTGGTCTTGTCCTGTCCCTGCCTTGGATTCCAGGGAGAACAGGAGGAAAAGTTTCCTGGGAAGGGAAGCTGAGGTGGACTCTGTCCATCACCCCTTCCTTTTCTGTAATATGGACAGTTCGGGGTACATTTATGCTATAGGCACTTGTTCCAAATGCCCTGAGCTCAGCATGTCTCCTTGCCCCACAAGAGCCCATGGTCAGGTCACCCCAAGATGCCACTCTGCACTGCTCCCTGTGCTGTGTGGGAAATGGGTGAAGAAGGTTCACTATGTCTGGGAGAAGGATCTGGGGACATGGTGGCAATGATGTCACCTGCCACTTATGCCCCTGCCCCTTGTGTCCCCTCCTGCAGGGACAAGTGATCCCAGGCTCAGAGAGATGCCCTGCTCCCTGGGATCAGGTCACCGGCCATTTCCCTTCATTTGTTGGATTCATGGCTGCTCTATTCACTGAGGCCTGGTGAAGGGGACACTCAAGGGTGGAAGAGAACTTTAACTCCAAACACTGGCAAACGTGTCACAAGAATAAGACACGATGCAGCTATGTTTGTGAAAGAGATAAATGAGGACATTCTATGAAATGTTAGGAACAAAATACAATTATGTCTATAAAAATAGTACAATCCATTCATGGAGCCACAACTTGGTTAGCCTGGAAGCCCTGTGACAGAGAGTGAGGACGTAAGCCAACAATGTGAGGAAACACCTTTGGGATCACTCTTCAATTGTCCTGGACAATAGGTCCTGGCTTCTGTTCAGATGGCTGACTACTCTCCCCATTGTCTTGACGGACAGCTCCTAGGTTCTGTGGAGATGGCCCATGCATACCAATCTCCTCATCAAATTTGGCTATATTCTTCTTGTTTTCTCTAGAACAAGTCTTCTCCTTCCTTACAATATGGATAGGCAGATAATGTTAAACGTTCTGCTTACTTTTGATTAATAATTATTTATTTAAGTTATTTCTCTCATCTCACTTTTTACTGTAAGCACTGAAGAGAAACCAGGCTGATCCTTCAACACTTTGCTTAGAAGTTTCCTCAGTCAAACATCAAATATCATCTCTCACAAGCTCTATCTTCCACAAAACCCACACGGACACAAATGCAATGTAACCAAGCTCTTTGTCACTTTATAACAAGGATCACCTTCCCTCCGGTTTCCAATGTCGTGATCCTCATTTCCATCTGAGACCTCATCAGAGTGGCCTTTACTGTCCACATGTCTACAAATCCTGTTCACAACTATTAAGGCATTCTCTAAGAAGAGTGACGTTTTCTCTACTGCTCTCGTCTTGTCTTTTGGTGTCCTCACCAGAATCTCCCTCAACAATCCCTTCATGGCAGTGTAGGCTTTTTCTACCATATATCTGAAAATTCTTCTAGCCTCTACTAATTACCTAGATCCCAAGCCACTTACACATTTTCAAGTATTTGTTACAGCAGTACCCCCACTTTTCAGTACCAATTTCTGTCTTAGTCTGTTTGGGCTACTATTAGAAAATAGTATATACTGGGTAGCTTATGAACAGAAATTTATTTCTCACATTTCTGGAGACGTAGAAGTCCAAGATCAAGGGGCACCATCAGATTCTGGGTCTGTTGAGTGCCTGTGTGAGAGAGGAAGAAATATTCCCCTACCTTTCTAGGATCTTCTGGATGGTCTAAGAATTAAATTGACATGAGACAAAATAACAGGACAAAATCAAAGAAAGTTCAATAACATGTATTCAGGGGACAAATCCCAGAAAACTGAGTAACTTTCCAAAATGGCTGAAAACACCACTTTAAATACCACTTTCAGCTAACGATGAAGAAGGACGTTTAGGGCAGTGGTTTGGGACTTCAAAGTGGAGGAAGGCATTTCGCGTGGAGAAGGAAAAGCGAACATTTGGTAAACAAACGTCTGCCACGCTTTGCAGAGACAGTGGGACATGGAGAAGACTTGGGACAAACAGGACTTGTGACATTCCTCCCTGTCTACCACACCTCGTTAATATTACTCTATAGTTATCTGTGGTGATAGCTCCTTCCTGGAAAAGGTCTTCTATCTTAAATTCTTTTAGGTAGTTATGGGAAAGTTCAAAGTTTCTTCCTGGGTCTTCTGTTCCCAAAAATAATCAAGCCAAAGAGTCACATTTTGGGGCAGAAAATCCTGCTCTGCTACACCCGCTTCCTGGTTCATCCACAGTGTCTCCTCACCGTGTCCTCACATAGTGCAAGGAAGGGGAGGAAGCTCTGGGGGTCAAAGACAAGAGCACAAACCCATTCGTTAAGGCTCCAACTCACGACGCAATCATCTCCCACAGGCCCCACCTCCTGACACCATCACACTGAGCATTAGCTTTCAACATATGAATTGTTGAGGACACAAAGCTGCAGACCACAGTGCACAGTAAATTGTCCACCCCCAAAGTGAAGGTGCAGACAGGCGTGTACAGGGAATCACACTTGAGAGAGCAGAAACTGATAAGCAGTTTTCTTTTCATTCCCTTTACAGCGTCTTTCCCAGAGTGAAAGCTTTGCGTTTTAAATTCAAATCAACATTTCTTTTATGGATCATGCACTTATATCACTGCATTTGTTTTTGATATTTCATTTTTCTTCTGAAACATAGTTTAAGCTGCAGATTCCCCCTTCAGTATCACTTGTGGTCTCTGCCATCACTGTTGAGATCCGTTATTGATCCTCATTCTGTGTCTGCACCTGGTGGGGAATCTGGGAAGACTGATCAGGGATCTAGCCTGATGGAATCAGGGTCTAGGACAGATTCCATGATAATTTAGAAATAGAAACAGAGGGCGATGGCGGGTGGGTTTCTGTGCAATAATCCGGGGAAGCAGAGTGTGGGCACAGATCAGGACTGTGTGCAGCTGGTTCTCATTATCCACGTGGATTCTCCTGCGAAAGCTGAGAGACAGGGTCCCCGGGCTGCTTTCACAGACTCACCCAGAACACGACCCAGCATGTCTGTGATGGGTTTTCATTTGTTTGCTTATCTTCCTGCCTGTTTCATGGAGGAATCTGAGAGCTGTATCCCCTCAGGTGGGCTGCTTTTCCATCCAGGAGACTGAGGGGCAGCTCCAGAAGGGGGTAATCCCTGACCATCAACGTCTACCCAAGTGGATGATGAGAGAGAGCTTAAACTGTAGCAGGGAGAACAAGGAACCCCATGGGGCAGATGTCGTGGGGGGATGCTCATGACATATGGAGTCAGGGTGTGCCCGTCTGAGGGCAGAGAAGACGAGCTCAGCACACAGAGTGCCTGGACTGTGTGGCATTTCTGAGGGTTGAAGAGAATCCTCAGTGTGCTGCCTTTGTCAAGACAGGAAGCAGGACCTAGAGGAAGTTGGAGGAAAGGTCCCTCATCACTGGTGATATCTCATCTGCAGCAGACAATGCCCTTCCTCTTTTTAGGTTGCACTAAGAATATGAGACATTAGAACTAGAAGCCAAAATAGGCCCGCTATTTTTTTTTTTTTTACTATTACTGGTTTATTTATTTATTTATTTATTTTTTGTTTATTGCAGTAACATTGGTTTATAACATTGTATAAATTTCAGGTGTACATCATTATACTTCTATTTCTGCATAGATTACATCATGTTCACCACCCAAATACTAATTACAACCCATCACCACACACAGGTACCGAATTATCCCTTTCACCCTCCTCCCTCCCCCCTTTACCCTCTGGTAACCACCAATCCAATCTCTGTCCCTATGTGTTTGTTTATTGTTGTTATTATCTACTACTTAATGAAGGAAATCATACGGTATTTGACCTTCTCCCTCTGACTTATTTCACTTTGCATAATGCCCTCAATGTCCATCCATGTTGTCACAAATGGCTGGATGTCATCGTTTCTTATGGCTGAGTCGTATTCCATTGTGTATATATACCACATCTTCTTTATCCACTCGTCCCTTGATGGGCACTTAGGTTGCTTCCAGGTCTTGGCTATTGTGAATAACGCTGCAATGAACACAGGGGTGCATGTATCTTTACGTATTGGTGTTTTCAAGTTCTTTGGGTAAATACCCAGCAGTGGAATAGCTGGATCATAGGTAGTTCTATCCTTGATTTTTTGAGGAATCTCCATACTGTTTTCCATAGTGGCTGCACCAGTTTGCACTCCCACCAGCAGTGTATGAGAGTTCCCTTCTCTCCACATCCTCTCCAACACATGTTGTTTCCTGTCTTGTTAATTATAGCCATTCTGACGGGCGTGAGGTGATATCTCATTGTAGTTTTGATTTGCATTTCCCTGATAGTTAATGATTTTGAACATCTTTTCATGTGTCTGTTGGCCATCTGTATTATCTTCTTTGGAGAAATGTCTGTTCAGGACTTTTTCCCACTTTTTAATTGGGTTGGTAGGTTTTTTGTTGTTGAGATGCATGAGTTCTTTATATATTTTGGAGATTAAGCCCTTATCAGATGTATGGTTTGCAAATATCTTCTCCGAATTGTTAGGTTGTCTTTTTGTTTTGTTGATGGTTTCCTTTGCTGTGCAGAAGCTTTTTAGTTTGACGTAGACCCATTTGTTTATTTTTTCTATTGTTTCTCTTGCCTGGTCAGACATGGTGCTTGAAAATATTTTGCTAAGACCGATGTCGAAGAGCGTACTGCCTATGTTTTCTTCTAGAAGTTTCATAGTTTCAGGTCTTACATTCAAGTCTTTATTCCATTTGGAGTTAAGCCCACTAATGTTTTGAACCACACTTCTGTGCCTGGTCTGGAGAGAGCTGGGAAGTGTGAGCAGGCCTCCTGCCCTGTGGAGCTCAGGGTCCAGAATGGAGTTAGTGAGAATTTAGACAGTAGAAGGCAGAGGTTGAAGTTGGGATGGGTTGGGACTTACACCCATGTAAACGATGAGCAAAAACTTACAGTGTTGTAGGGGAGACAGAGACCCCATGGAGCAGAGGTCCTGGGGAGGCTGATCATAACCTCATGGGGTCAGTAGGTGCCTGTCTGAAGGAAGGGCCCCTGTAGGTGTCACGGGTGCATTCCCTAAGCAGCTACAAGGAAGTTGAAAGGTGCGTAATGCTCCCTCAAGGTTGTTTTTCAGAGCTATGTCAGGAAGAGTTACCAGCCTCAACCAGCCTGAACCAGATCGAGCCCCACTGCAAGGGCAGCACCTGCACAGATGACCCGAAAGTGACCAGAGAATGCCCTTTTCCTCATCTCAATACTCTAATCTCTGCCATAGGAGGAGCCTAGGCTGTATTAGCATAACATGTGGTGTATGTGAGAGCTTGTGTTCAGACTGTGCTTGCGCCAGCTAATACCCGCCTCTACAAGTGACGACAAAACCTCCCTTTTCAATATTCATTCCCCACCCGAAATGAGAGGACCTGATGGCTTCTGTTCAGGGAGAGCCATGCTTTTCCAAGTGATTCTACGTGGTCTCCTATTTGCTGCAAATACACTTAACTTTGTGTGACGACTACTTCTCATGGAGAGATTGACTTTAACTCACCAGGGAGTGGACTCATGTTGGTTTGGTAGCATGGGGACAGTGTGTAGTGTGGGGGTAGAGGGCCTAAGCTCAGCACACAGGTGCACGGACTGGGCTGGTGCCGCTGTTGTGGGAAACGTTACCCAATCACAGGGAAGAAGAGAGGCATGAGGATGTTCTCTTTGTCAAGAAAGAAAAACAGGACTGACAGGAACTTGGTGATGGAAATGTTCCTACTCACTGGTGATGTCTCATCTGCAAACAGACAATGTTACTTCCTTATTTGTTGGCTGCAGTGAGAATATGAAAAACTAGAACTCAAAGACACAACACTAATTTTTTCTAAGTGCAGCTGAGAGCATAGAGAGGAAATCCCTGGTCCCAACAGGAAGCCCCTTCCCCATCCTCCATGTGCACCTGCTCCTGGGTCTCATCTCTGTGCTCAGTGGGTCTTGAGCGCCCCCTGCAGCCAAACCCCTCCTGTCTCTCTGCAGAGAGGTTTGTGTCTGGGCTCACACTGACTTCTCATCACTGTGTGTCTAATATCTTCCACTTGCTCAGTAATAACTGTGCCTCTTGCACAGTAGTACACGGCCGTGTCCTCAGTGGTCACAGAGCTCAGCTGCAGAGAGAACTGGTTCTTGGACGTGTCAGCAGTGATGGAGATGTGGCTCTGGAAAGCCGAATTGTAGCTTGGGCTCCCTGACCAGTACCCCATCCACTCCAGCCCTTCCCCAGGGCGCTGGCGGATCCAACTCCAATAGTAACTGTCAGTGACAGAGCCCCCGGAGACAGCGCAGGTGAGGGAGAGGGTCTGCGAGGGCTTTACCAGTCCTGGGCCTGACTCCTGCAGCTGCACCTGGGACAGGACACCTGGGGACAAGGAGAATCATTCCCTGTCAGTCACGTACAGTCACAACCATCTCCATAGACCCAGGTCTGACATCTGAGACACTCACCTTGGGGAGCCATCAGCAGGCAAAGGAGAAGACCCAGCAGTCTCATCTTCTTCTAGACCACAGCTTTGCCTTCCCCAGAGACTCAGCTCTGTCTGAAGAGAGAGCTGTGAGCTCCCACAGCCTGAGTGCATTTTACCCCAGAGCTTGAAGAGAAATTTGCATGTGGGGAACTCTGTCCTTATAAGTGGAGGTGGGACTGAGGTCGGGCTCACTGGTTCTATAGGGTCTCCCCTCTTGAACACAAGGAGTGTGTAAGTCTGACATGGGAGAGCACTGAGCGTATATGACACATTGTAACCAAATCAAAGGACAATCCGCTTGTCTGAGCATCAGAATAAACACTGGACTAGATGAGTAGACGGCAGATATTTTAATTTTTGGATCTTTCAAATATCTATGACAAGGGACCAGCATTCTGTCCAGGTGCACTGGGAAACCAAACACATTAAATATATCCACACTCAACAAATTTTTATGATCATAATTCCATATACAAATTTTGATATCAAGTTTGTTGTAAATATAATTGCAAACTGAAAGATAGTTCTTCCCAGCTTCTATTTACTTTAATTTAAGCACTTAATGGCATTACTTTTATCTGAGCAGATCACATCTTCAAAGCATAGGCAGGATTAGAGATCCTTGATTGTGGATGTTGGCAATTTAATAATTGTGGATTGTTTATTTTTATTGTGTAGTCAACGTTAATTATATAGTCTGTTTCAAATTCCTTATAAGCTGTATTTGCTTTACTCATATTCTTCTAATCTGTTGCATTCTATCAATTTTCTTAAAATAAACTTTCAAATATACATCATTGTTTTCCGTTTGAGTGCAAATCAGTGTATTGCTTTTTGAAGACCTGTGCTTTCTGTGTCATATCTAAGAAACACTAGGCTTATCCAAGTCACACATAGTCTGTTCCATTGATCTGTGTGTCTCTCCTCCCTAGTGCCCACAGTGCTAATGCTTGCAGCTATATGATAACTGTCTTCCAACTTTTACAAGATCTTCAATGATATCTAAAAATGACAAAATCTGTTGATGGGAATGTGTTTCTGGAGGGCCCTGAGAAGGGCTGCAGATGGAATCTATACCCCTTTCTCAACCATTATTGTAGGTACCAGGCAGCACACATCCTATTCTGAGGATTTAGGTCTCTCCATCCTTTGTTACTGATGGAAACAAAAGACAAGTGACACCATTCCTGGAACTCGGGGACTCTGGGGAGGTGGACATGGGGCTGTTTGAGTCACACAGGTGTATGCTTCACGACGATACAGCCCCGTCCTCATTTCCTCACTGTCTATTCGGATCCATTCTGTTGGGTTTGAATGACCACAGCCATTCCCAACATGGAGTGGGGAGAAGTGACTCCATCCCAGGACAGGACCAAGACAGGTCTCGCTCCTCCTTGCTCAAGGAGATGCACAGAGGCTGAGCCCAGACTACACAGGCCTTGGGCTGGTGCTTAGATCTCAGCCCCATGACCCTGAGAGAGATGTCCACCTCTGTTCTGGTGGAAGAACCAGGAACAGGGGAAGAAAGAGCATTTAGAAACATAAGACTATGGTTGAGTTGAAAAATGGAAAGCACATGTCTCTCGTTGTAACATCTGGACACCATAGGGAGGATTTGAATGAAGAGGAGAGATTTTAAAGTCAACAGAATGGATTTTTCACCATTTTGATTTCTCTAGTCCACCACATACCATCTCTTTGTTCTGTCCTGAACCACAAACTGGCACACTGTTAGGCAATCTTCCTCGGATCTCTGAGTCAGATGGAAAGACACTGGGGTTGTCCAGGGGATCCCAGGACACAGACCAGGGTCCAGAGGGAAATTCATGGTGTCTAACTTCTTCCTCTTGACACTGCCTTCTGCCCACAGGAGAGAGATGTTCACTCTAAAGCATCAAACTCCTGAGTTTGAAAGACAAGAAGTGACCCCAGATCTTGAGGCAGGGGACCTGCAGGGAGAAAGAAAGCCCCACCCTGAGAGGACACTCCCTCCTCAGCCTCCCCCTGCACCTCCTTCTGAGGCTGGGCACCTGTGCTTGCCAGGTCCAGAGAGAACCACAGCCCAGGCACTCCTGGACACATGAGGGGTCAGACTGGGATCGGGAGTCCACAGCATTCTCCCACTGTCTTCATCTCCACTGTGACATGCTACTCAGATCTAGTCGGGGGTTAGTAGGAAATGCACTGTTGTAAATGTGTTATTACCAGGTATCTTATTTATGTAAGATGTTAACAGTAGGGAATTTGGAGATGGATATATGGGAACACTGTGTATTTTCTTTACAATTATCTGTAAACATGTAATTATTCCAAATCAAAAGTGTACAATAGGTAAAGAGACCACAATCAAAAATAAAAGTCACAAGAACTTATAGAATAGATTTCTGAGAATGATAGTATCACAATCATAATTTTGAATATTTATTTGAGGAGATAATGTCAAATGACCATCTATAAAAGTGACAAAATACATGTCTGTTCATAAATAAACATAAAGCACCTAATCCTACACTCCATAGATTGAGGTGCTATTTATACATTTGTTTTCTTTCTTTCCTTCCATGACGGTTGAAATGTTTTATTATCATTAGTGTTTCCTTGATCAATAGTGAGTACATGTGCATTGTGCCTTTCTCAAGTTTATACTGACATTTTGTTAATTTTATAGTGACCTTTTCTTTTTCAAACAATGTAAAGTATTTTGTTCATTATGAGGACGACAGCTCTGTATGCCTTAGGCATCGGAACTACCATTCACTATCTCTCTCTGATTTTTCTACTACGTCAGTTTCTATTATTTCTCACCTTGTTAAAAGTTAGATTTATGTACTCAGACATGTTTTTAAATGTATTTGAAAATCTCACAATCTTCTTTCCCAATATGCGTACCTTTTATTTCCTTTTCTTGTCCTATTGCATTAGGGAAACTTTCCAGGACAGTGTTGAAGAGGATTGGTGAGAGTGGACATGCCTGCATTTTCCTGATCTTAGAGAGAAAGCTGTAGTTTCTCACCATTAAGTATGACGTTAGCTGTAGGTTTTTTTTTTTTTAATATTCTCTATTAATTTAATGAATTTCCGTTTTATTCCTAGTTTACTGAGAGTTTTTACCCTGAATGGGTGTTGAATTGTGTCAAATAGTTTTCCTGCATCTATTGGCATGATAATTTGATGTCTTACTATGGATTGATGGATTACATTAATTTATTTCAAATGTTCAACTAGCCTTGTAGACCTGATAGAAATCCTACTTGGTCCTGGTGGATAATTCTTTTTATACATTTGTGAAATCGCTTATATTTGTTGAGGACTTTTGCATCTATGCTGATGAGTGATATTCGCGTCTGCTTGTCTTGTCTTGTAATGTCTTTGCCTGGTTTTGGTGCTGGGTGATCCTGGCCTCATACAATGAGTCAGCCAGTATTCCCTCTGCTACTGTCATCTGGAAGAGATTGTAATGACTTGGTATAATCTATTCCTTAAATGTTTGGTTAAACTCATCAATGACTCTATCCAGGCCTGATGATTTCTGTTTTGGAATGTTATTAATTACTGATTCAATTTCTTTACTAGATATAGGTCTATTAAGATGGACTATTCTTCTTGTGTGAGTTTTGGCAGATTGTGTCTTTCACGGAATTGGTCCATTTCATCCAGGTTAAAAGATTTGGGCCCTAGGGACTTTCTAATGTTTCTTTATTATCCTTTTAATGTCCATGGAATCAGTAGCAACGTCACCTATCATTTCTGATAGTAATAATCTGTGTCCTCTCTTTTTTCTTAGTTGGAGTGTCTGGAGGTTTTTCAACTTCACTGATCTTTTCAAAGAACCAACATTTGGTTTGTTCATTTTCTCTGTTGATTTTCTGTTTTCAGTTACATTGGTTAGTGTTGTATTTTTTATATCATTTTTCTTCAGCTTACTTTGTATTTGATCTGCTTTTCTTTTTCTAGTTTTCTATGGTGAAAACTTAGATTATTAATTTTAGATCTTTCTTATTTTCAAATATACGCATTTAGTGCTATAAATTTACCTCTAAGCTCTGCTTCTGCTGCCTCTCACTTTTCTTGGTAAATTGTTTTCATTTTCATTTACTCCAAGTTTAAATTTATTTTGAGAATGCTTCCTTTACCTTATGTAATTTACGATGTGTTTAATCTCCACATATTTGGGGAATTTTCCACTTATTTTCTGTTATTTATTTCTAGTTTTATCCCACTGTGTTCTGAGAGCAGACACTGTATGAGTCTACTCTTTTACATTTGGTATGGTCTGTTCTATGGCCCTGCATGTGGTCTCTCTTGGTCAACGTTCCATGTGAGCTTGTGAAGCGTGTGTGTTCTGCTATTGTTGCATCAACTTGTCTACAGGTATCGATTGTATCCAGTTGATTTATTGTGTCATTGGTTGCATGTATGTTCTTCCTGATTTTCTGTCTCCTGTATATGACCATTTATGAGAGAGGGGTGTTGAAGTCTCCTACTATAGAAGCAGATTCATCCATTTCTCTTGGCACTTCTGTTGTGTTTTGCCTCACATATACTGATTCTCTCTTGTTAGGTGCATACAAGCTAGGGATTGTTGTGTCTTCTTGGAGAATTGACCCTGGACCATTATACAATGCCCTTCTTCATCCCTGATAACTTTGTTTCATCTCTTCTGTGACTGAAATCAGTATAACTGCTCCTGCTTTCTTTCTTTTTTTTTTTTTTTCTGGTGAGGAAGATTAAACTTGAACTAACATCTGTTGCCAATCCTCCTCTTTTTGCTGAGAAAGACTGGTCCTGGGCTGACATCCATGCCCATCTTCCTTTTCTTTATATGTGGGAGGCCTCCACAGCGTGGCTTGATAAGCGGTGTTCAGGTCCACACCCGGGATGTGAACCTGCAAACCACAGGCCGTGAAAGTGGAACACACAAACTCAACCGCTCCGCCACCGGGCAGGCCCATCCTGCTTTCTTCTGATTAGTGTTACCACGATATATCTCTCTCCATCCGTCTACTTTTATTCTATATGTGTCTTTATTTTTAAAGTGAGTTTCTTGTAGACAACAAATTCTTGCGTCTGGTTTTTTGGTTCACTTTGATAAGCATTGTCTTTTATTTGTTGCATTTAGACTGTTGAGGTTCAAAGTGATTACTGATACACATAGGCATTAATTTCTACCATAGTCATTACTGTTTTATTTGTTGCACTAGTTCTTTGTTCCTATTTTTGTCTTCCACTACCTTTTACCTTTTGTGGTTTTAATTGAGTATTTCATGATACCATTTTCTCTCTTTCATTGATGTATTGGTTTTTCCTTTGAATGCATCTTATCTAGAATTTAATGAATGAGTTAGAATTATAAATTTATTTTAATTTCAAATACATTTACTTTAAATATAATTTAAGCTGAATTCATTTTAGAGGGAAGTTTGCACCCCTGAGCCTTCTACTCCTCTGACTACACAATGACCAGCATTCAATCGACTATAAAGAGGCATATGAAGAAACAGCGATAAATGGATAATAATCAAATGAAAAGATGGAAAAGAAGAGACACAAAGGTGATTCCAAGATGGAGAAGACAAAGACTGCGCTATAAATGTGTTTACTATGCTCAAGGAAATATAAAAACTGGAGGATTAAATACGTAAAAGAATAGACATGTAAACCAACAACTAAATTGTATAACAGGGATCAAGTGGTCATTTTAGGTATAAGAAATACGGTATCTGAAATTAGCAACAAAAAAGGCAACGGGTGAGTTAACAACAGATGAAATTCAAGAGGAAATGAAAATGAGTGAGGAAAAATCAGTGCATATTTTCTTTACTTTGAAAGGTATTTTGCTGCAAAAATGATAATAAATTTTCATCATCCCTGCTATCCCCCAGGTGAAATCTGACCACCTGGGCTCCCTTGACCGAGAATCCTGTTTAGTCAATCTAGCCAGATTCCCAGCCTTGATGTCTCCCTTTCATAATTTTCCATCCACTCCCCCTCCATGATCCTTGGCCATAAATGTCCACTTGTCCCTGCTGTGATGGCATTGAGCCAAGTTTCCAGGGCTGCCTCAAACGCACAGTGAGTTTCATCTTCCTCCTACTTGGATTGAATGTCTATTTGACACATTAGCACTGAGCTCATGGCCAAGGGAAGTATAAGTCATGCCTGAATAAAGCTTATCACCATATGTATTTTCTCCTTAAGGCACTTCACAGCCTCTGTGTGTGTAGGAACACCAGTCAGCACCTCAGCAGTGTGCATGGGGCCACTTTAAACAGGGAAACTGCCAATTAAAAGCACAAAAATGTGAAAAACATGGCACCCAGTTGACCCGCAAAGGGACTTGATTACCTGATGGAGCCGAAAAAAGAAGGCAGAAAACCACCTGGTGTGACTTCAGCTGGGAATTTGTGTGTGTTGTGTGACTCAAAATACTGGCCGCTCTGTAAGTTTCCATGAATGACCACAAAAACAAAGACAGTTTTCATCTCGGGGAGCACGTAAATGTTAGCGAAGAGGTAAATTTCAAATATGGAATCCGTGAATACTGAGGATCATTGTGTACCCAATATCGGGGCACTCTGGCATTGCAAGTCTGTGATAGTGCATATTGCACAACTGTCAACCTACATGTGCAGTGCTCACAATGCTGAAGGGTGTGGCTCCTCCTTCCTCGGGTACAAAAACAGACACAAAGAACAATTTACATGGGATTTAAAATCCCCTCGGCCTTCTCAGGATGTTCACCAAGTTCCAAGACTTCAGACTCAAATTGAAAGCTACTGTTACACTAGTGTTGTATGTAGTTACTTCGAGAAGAAGAAAAATAAGGAGAAACGCCCCACACTAATTCCTTAATAAAAAGTAATATTATCTTCTGAAGGCAACATAAAACACAACATTGACAACATAGGACCTAGAAGAAGGTCTCTGGTGGAGTTCCTGGGCAGGAAGAGGAAACCACAGATTCTAAGTAGAATCTCCTCCCAACCTCTCTCAGCACCTGCTCCAGGGCTCAGCCCTGTACTAGGTGGGTTCTGACCGCCCTCTGGTGGTCGTGAGCATGCCCTGAAGCCCAGCCCCTCCTGTCTCCTGAAGGAGGTTTGTGTCCGGGCTCACACTGGCTTCCCCTCACTGTGTCTCCTGCACAGTAATACACGGCCGTGTCGTCGCCTGTCAGGCTGCTCAGCGTTAAATAAACTTGGCCCTTGGAGGTGTCCCTGGTGATGCTGAGTCCTTCACCAAGACCAGGGTCCCCTTCTTCCCCTGCAGGAAGCGTGCTGAAGGAGCTGCTCAGGGAGACGCATGCGGGCAGAAGGAGGGGCTGTTTTGAGAACAGCACCATCCTCCCTCTGCTCACAGGGGTGTTTATATGTTTATCAAATACTCCCCACAAATCCAAGGGCTCTAAATTGTCAGATAGCCACTCCATTCCCTTCTCCATTATCTCATGTCTAAAATATTGGAAGCTGGTGAAATAGTGATCCTCAATGACTGGAAACATCTTGCCTGGAAACAGAGAATGATATTTACTCCTTCCTCTCCTGCAGTGAGAAAGTGAGAACACAGAGCCACAAAACAGAAGGCAAAAGAGTCCCTGGTAACATCAGAAAGCTAGAAGAGGAGAGAAAATCCATGGTCACAACAGGAAACCTGTTCTCAGCCCCTCAACGCACCTGTTCCTGGGGTAAGTTCCCTCATTCACTGGGTACTGAACACCCCTGGTTGTCCTGATCCTCACTGGTGGTCCTGAGTGCCCTGCAGCCCACCCCTTCAGCTCTCTGTGTCTCTCCCACATTAAAACATGACTATTTCCTTGGCGGTCACAGAGCTCACCTGCAGGGAGAAGTGTTTCTTGGATGGGTCCCTGGATGGTGCCTCGACTTCTGAGGGACGGAATATATTCTGTGCTCCCACTACTGTCGATGCACCCCATCTACTCCAGCCCCTTCCCTGGGGGCTGACGATCCAGCTCCAGCAAAAGCACTGGTGATGGAGTAACTGGAGAAAGCATAGGGAAGGGAGAAGCTTTTGATGGCTTCACCAGGCTGGGCCCCGATTCCTGCAGCTGCACCTGGGACGGGACACCTGGGGACAAAGAGAAACACAATGAGTCATGTGCTCAGATACAGTGGCCCCATATCTCCATGTCTGAGTCCCGGAGTCACTCACATCTGGGAGCTGCCACCAGAGAGGAAGAACCACAGGTGCTTCATGTTCTTGCAGGTGAGGTCCATGACTCCTGACAATACTGTCCACGGTGAAGAAGAACATGAATTTAAGCGAATGTCTGCAGTGATTTATCCAGTTGTCTAAGTGGTGATTTCCATGTGGGAGGTATCTTTGTATGTAAAGACGGACGGGGACAAGGGGAGGTTTCTGTCTCTGGGGCTCCCCTTGGAGGGTGACACTGGCTGTGCCCTCAGAGGACTCAGGATTACACTGGACTCCCCTCACCATGCCTAGAGTTCTTTTATTCCAGGTGAGAACAAGTGCAGAAGGAGATGGTCAGTGAGCTGGATGTAGCCCAGGATGGAAGCTGGCTGTAAGAAGAGGGTCAGCATGCCTCTACTCCCAGCGCCATAAATGTTTATCAAATAGCCAGTACATACCCAAGATCCTCTCAGTTATCAGATACCCTTTAATCATTTTCCCTTCTTCATTAGCACTCATTCAATTCCTGGATGTTCCAAAGTCTTGAGGCAGCAGCTAAATGTTGCAATGACATTGAATTCTGAGCGTATTTGTTCTAACACAATGTTTGCATGAATTGGATCGGCTCGGAATGACTCACTTACTGGGGTGAACATTTCTTCTTGTGAGACGTCATCACAACCACGTGTGTCCAAGCTTACTATGGAGGGGAATCAGTTCACGTCAAGCTGTCGTGGAGTTTATTTGTGGCACAGGGTGAAAGTTTTTGCTCAGATGGTATCCATTCTGAGCATTGTTGAAATAGCCATCATCGTCTAATCGTGCTTATCTTATAGATAGTTGAGTTTGGAAAGAATGCGCTGGACCTGCAGACTCTTTCCGTGTGGGACAACTTTCAGGGAAATGAATTTTCTTCTGAATTTGAAATAGAGACAGCTGGCGGAAGGCCCTCAGCTCGCTAATGTTGGGTCAGTGCCTTTGTCTCCATGTACACACTCATATATCCTAGAAGTATCCATTTTTTATCAATACCTGTGGATTTTGGATTCACTAAAATGGTTTCCACTGCATTGAAGGAGAGAACTTCATGATTCTTGGCAATATAGCTGCACAGTGAAGGATGTGCAGGATGGATGAGCTCACCACAACCAGAGGGAAGCTCCCTGCTCCAGAAAGGAGGTCCCTTAGATCATCCCCCTGAGAGCTGCTCCTCTGAGTCCCTGTGTCACTGGATCCTGGGATTAGGGCTGAAATCTGATGGGTATGCAGTGGTAGAGAGCAGAGATCAGCTCCGTCTTCCTCAGAGTGCAACCCTAAGGATGTGACCTCACCATTCTGGTCTCAGATCTGAAGAGATGTAATTCAGGGATCACAGTAATAACTTTGGATGTGAAATTTATAGTAGGGAGACAGCACTGTTAGGTATTATCATCACTATCATCAGTGGTATTATCTCTCCTGGGGACCAGAAAGGACCTCATCACAGATTGCACAAGGAACTCCAGCTCTTGTCCTGCCCTGACATGGCACAGCTGTGCAACAAGGGCAGGTCAACCCCCCCTCACCCGGTGTCACCACATGTACACAGACCGACTTAGATCCAGTTATCCCTGAGAATCCCTTTCTTATATGATAGTATATGAACAGAGCCTTGAATGCAGGATAATATCAATTGACTGTTTAATAACATTGATGGAGTGAATTGAATAATACATAATCCTCATGCTTGAGTGGAGGTAACAGAAGAGTCTCCAGAAGCTGCTTGAGCCAGATTAACGGGACCATTTGCATCCTCTGGTTAGGACCAGGACAAGCAGGCTGACCTGCTGTGGGATTGTGGAAGGGAACAGACAACACCCAACACCCAGAACCAGGTGAGCCGTTTAGTCATCAAGTAACCTCTGGACATAGAGGGTTGAACAGATGCAGATGGGTCTCTCCAGGCCCTTAGGGGCTGATGGACCTGGAGAGAGGCTGATATAAATTCTTGCTCACAGAAAAGGTTATATATAGGGGTGTATACATTTATGTCGCTAGGAATGAGTTCATAGGTTCTGTTCATCGGTAGCAACAAAAGAAAGGATTAGCTCACTAGCACTAAAAAGAGATTGTGTCTGAAATCTGATGGGCATGCAGTGGTGGAGAGCAGAGCTCGGCTCCATCTTCCTCAGAGTGCAACCATGAGGATGCGACCTCAGCATTCTGGTCTCTAGTCTGAAAAGGTTATTTGGGGATCTTGGTAATAACTTTATATGGGATAAAGAACTATGTGGGGATAACTGAAGACAGGGAGGGGGGGAACTAGATCATGTTATAATTCTGATGGGATTAGATATGACTGACTTGTCATAAAAAGAGAAGAAGTGAATTTTTTGTGATAAGAACACTTAGCATAAGACTCACTCTTAACAGAATTTTAAGTGCACAATATTGTTATCTATAGAGATAATGTTGTAGATCATTTTGCATTTGCATGGATGATTATGCAAGATATTGATCTTGCATAACTGAAATTTTTTACACTTTGATTAGCTACTAGCCACTAACTCCCCCCCCCGCCTTGCCCAGCCCTGGCAACTACCCTTCTATTCTCTGCTTCTATGAGTATGACTATTTTAGATACATCATATAAGTGGAATCATGCAATGTCTGTCATTCTGTTACTGGCTTCTTTCACTTATCATATTCTTAACGTCCATCCCTGTTGTCTCATGTTACAGGATTTCCATGCTTTTGAGTGTGAATCATATCCCACTGCATGAACATACTATGTTTTCTTTATCCATTCATCCATCTGTGGACATTAAGGTGTTTCCTCATCTTAGAACTCATGAACAATGCTGCAGTGAACGTGCGGGTGCAGCTGTCTTCTTGAGCTCTTGATTTCAGTTCTTTGAGATACGTGCCAAGAAGTGGGTTTTCTGGATCAGTGCTAGTCCTATTTTTAATTTTTGAGGAAACTCCAACTGCTTTTCACAATGGCTGTACCGATTTACATTCCAACTTCATTGTCCAACAGTTCCCTTTTTTCCACGTTCTCACCAACACTTGTAGTCTTTTTATTTTAAATCAGAGCCATGCTAACAGGTGTGAGGTCATGTCTCATCGTGGTTTTGATTTGCATTTCCCTGATGATTAGTGACATTGAGCACCTGTCATTTACCTGTTGGTCCGAAGACCCGAGTAGGCATTTCTCCAAAGTATTGAGCCTAAAGTGAGAAGCTTTTGAAGGTCACTCTGATTCACAACTCAAGATGAACCCATCAGTTGTTGAGAGAAAGAAGGAAAGATAGAAGTGCGTTTCATGTTGAGAGATGGGAAAGGTCCACCTGATGGGTTCTGTGTTTCCCCTTGAAAAGAGTTGAGAATATTAACTAGACATGGAGTTTGAACTTATAGGACATTGAGGCCAGAAATTTGAGAAGAATTTAGTGCCTTCATGAGAATCATTGTAACAAAAAAAAAAAAAAAAAAGCAAAGAAAAGAAAAGGGAATCATGAACTATGCCTGGAATCACAGCCATGTTCCTGGATAATGTTGAGTCCAGTTGACTTTGGTGTTGCTGGATATACAGGAGATTCACTACCCCCATAATTTTACGTGACAGCTCCAGTTGTAAGCCCACTTTCATACCCCAGGGACGTGAATGGAACTTATTCACTATGAAATGAAGGGTGCATGAAGATCTGCGGGTACAAGTCAAGGATACGGAAATGTGTTATTGGAAATTTGCATGCAAATATCTAACGTGGAGTAGGAAAATATAACAGAAATACTTAGTGACCTAAACAAGGATCAATTTTCTCTTCAGCCACTCCTTAAAATTACATAATAATTAAAATAATTGCTCCTTATAGATTGGGAGCCATTTCAGGGTGAAAATGTAGAAAAGGGGTAGCCTCATGGATGAAATCTCACTCTTCTCATCAGAGATCTGTGTCTCTGTGGACATGTGACATAGTTAATGTCAGGACTGCAGGAGAAAGGATCTGTTGGGGCATTCCTGGTCCTTCAGAAGAAATGTCCCATCCCTTCACCCAGCCCATCGTCATATCTGCATGTGACTCTTGGTACTCCTCTCACTCTCTCCACACATAAAAGTCTTCGTTGTTTAGGCAGTAAAAGTTGTCTTTTTCTTACTTTCCTCTCAACTAAACATATGTAATAATGGAGAGGTATTAAAAACTGATATAATAATTAATCCAAAGTCAATGAGAATACAAAATAAGTGCCTGGGACTAGTGGGACACACAGGAGGCTGAATATGAAGCTTGTGTTCACAGTTGTTTCATCTCAGTTCAGGCGCATTCTGTGCACCCCTCAGATTTATTATCAACTCACACTGAGAACCTTGACCCAACAACGTTGTGGATGGATCACACCTCAATACTGAACCTGGGGGTTATCAATCAGGATGTACTACCAGTAATTTAAGTGCTCATTTGCATGTCATCGTTTATCTGTGTCAAACACAGCCCAGATGTGGGACTCTACTGTATTTCCTAAAGATTGTAAAGCAGCCAAATACCAGAGTGTAAGCACATGTACAGAGAGCAGGTGTGCGTTGGCGTAAGGCAAGATTTGGGAGGCTCTGGAAACAAAGGGGATTTCCCTCTTCCACTGAAACATGCAATATTTCAGTTTGAGTCAGAATGCAGGACAAGGCTGATGTCACATCCCAGCTCAAAGGCAGTCAGGCAGGAGGAATCTTCACTCATTTAGGGGAGGGTCATCTTTTGTTCCATCGAGGCCATAAACTGATTTAATGAGGCCCACCCACATTCTGGAGGGAAATCTGTTTATCAATCCACTGATTTTAATGTTCATCAAATTCAAAAACACTTTCACAGACACACTCAGAATAATCTTTGACCAAATGCCTGGGCACACTGTGGTTCAGTCAAGCTGACACATAAAATAGACCATCACGTGAGCCATGTAGTGAACCCTCTCCTACCACCAACAGATTCATGCTGCCTTCCCACGTCGTGCTAAACAGCCTCTTCATGATCTACCACCAGGAGATTTCCCTTCCTAAAGAGACATCAGGGCAAAACTGCTTTTGGACCCGTTTGAAAAGATC